TTGCGTGAAGTCGTAAAGGAGATTGTAGTCACTGATAGGCAATTGGGTGTAACTTCGAACGACACCGACACGAAAACATCCAATTCTGTGAAACAAAATAGACTGCCGAGTAACGATACCTTTCAGGAGGTAAACGCGGAGGAGAGCGAGGATTTAAATACGCAGAATGGGTCTGATATCAGTCCAACTCCACCCACCAACATGACAGCTGCGGGACAAGCTGCGACATCAAATACATTGAAAAAATCAAAAACACCGAGTAAGTCTTATAATACTAATAGACCTAATTTAACAATTAAGGCGGATGCTAGACCGAAAAGAAGCAATAGTTTGAAGAGATCAGATAGCACAAAGAGTGCAAGCAGCCCGAGATGCCTGGATAGCCCGAAGCGAATTGACTCTTCTGCACGAGGAGACAAATCAAGTCGGCTGGACAGTCCCAAAAAACTTGATACTCCAAGACGATCGGATTCTCCAAAGAAGCTCGATAGTCCACGACAGAATAACTTTTCCTCCCGTCTGGATAGTACAAAGCGTAGCGACAGTCCGGGTCGATTGGATAGTCCAAAGCGTATCAACAGTACTAAGCGCAGTGACACTCCGGCTCGATTGGACATATCAAAATATATCAATAATCCTAAGCGTAGTGACAGTCCGGCTCGATTGGATAGTCCAAAACATCTTAACAGTCCCAAACGATGTGACAGTCCGGCTCGTTTGGATAGTCCAAAACATATCAATAGTCCAAAACGATGTGACAGTCCGGCTCGTTTGGATAGTCCAAAGCGTATCAACAGCCCCAAGCGCAGTGATAGCCCGCGTACCGGTAGTCCAAAACGTACCGACAGTCCCAAGCGTACCGACAGTCCCAAGCGTACCGACAGTCCAAAGCGTACCGACAGTCCAAAGCGTACCGATAGCCCTCGATCGTCTCCAGTAGCTCCCTACTTTACTTCTTCCAACGTTTTGACTCTTCCACCGAGCGGTAGTAAATCGGACAAGACTGCGTCGCAGAATTGTGCCGGCTGTGATCTGCCTATATCTGGCCCCGTGTTGTCGGCTGTGGGGAGGCGTTGGCATCCTGCACATTTTGTTTGTAAGCAGTGTGGTGATTCCTTAGAGAATGTCGCTTTCTTTGAGAAAGCCGGCAATCCGTATTGTCGAAAGGATTTCCACGAACTGTTTAGTCCAAAATGCGCACAATGTGAAATGCCCATTGAAGGGGTAAGTTCGATGTCATTATAAAAGCAACGGAAATTTGACGAGCGTGTGTTTGTCGAGATTCATAATGACTAATCGTCTTGTGTGTACGGGCTTTATACTTGCAGAAAATAGTCAGTGCGCTTGGCAAGTCGTGGCACCCAGGACATTTTTGTTGCCAGAAATGTGGCGATCCGTTCGAGTCGGGCGGTTTTATGGTTCATAATGGATTACCATACTGCGAAAAAGATTGGATTGAGGAACATGGTGAGCATGTGAAAAGAGAAAGTGTCTACCGTTATCTTGCGATTTATTCTGTAATGGTACTTATCAGTCATATCTTGACAGCGCCACGGTGTACAGGCTGTAGCAAACCCATCCGGGGCGAAATTATGAATGCATTGAATGCAGTTTGGCATCGAAGCTGTTTCACTTGCACGGTTTGCATCTTTTTTGTGGTAATTTTAAATTGATTTCACAAGACTATTCTTTTTAACTAACAGTTGCTTTGCAATAGATCTGTCGAAACCCTTTTCCGGATTCTTTTTACTACGTTATAGATGACAAGCCGTATTGCGAAACCGATTATCGTAACTTCCTCTCGGGTATATAAATTAAAAACAAAGAAATCATAAACATTAGAACATTTGGTTTTAGACGTTATCTGTTTAGATCAGGAACATTTTATTATTTATGTTTGTTGAACTTGCCAACTTGCATTACTAGAACCAGTTTTGGTTAGACAGTCTGTTAAATACCTATAGTCTTTGAGAGATAAAAGGATAATAGAAACAATAAATTAATCACATATCTATTAAATAATCTACTCTGCAATCCCCTCAACTTCTCTCCCGAGTCCCATTCCAATGCCTATTGCTGCCAATTTATCCCTAGCCTTTTCGTTGAATGAATTTCCTCCCACACCCGTATTAGCGACTATGAGTTTCTCTATTCCCCCTGATTTGAAATCAGTCCTTGCAGCAAGATACGGTTGTAGATGCTGCACTTCGATCTTTGAAAGGAATCCCTCACTTAATACTGAAGGGATAATGTCTAATTTAACGACGAAAAGATTGCCGATTTCGCGTAACATTTCGAAACATTCATCGAGGGCGGCAATCTTATACTGCGCTATTGCTTCTTGATATTTTGCAATGTCCCTGAAGGTAAAGAGCAAATGTGACGTGTGACAGTAAGTCTATGTGCGTATCTGGGACTGAAACAATATATACGACACGTACTTTGTTAAAACCAGTGCACCGGCGGGACTAACAGTAAACTTGCGGAAATGTTCAAGCAACATACTACCAGTGATGGAAAAATTAGAATCGTAAACTATGAAGCAGACAGAGCAGATAATCTTAAGGCTGTTTACCTGTGGAAGGCCATTCCAACTTCAGTCAAGAAATGTTCCAAGTTTTTACCATCAATATGAGGCCCTATACCCGAATGAACCTTTTTCAAGAAGTCGACACAACTATTGCACGGCTTATTAAATAAATATTGACGTGTGTAAATGACCATAATAATGACATAATTGATACGCGACAATGAAATGCGATATTAAAAGACTTACCCCAGTGGCCAGACTCAATATAGAGTCATCACCATCTTTGGGACGAAAATCAGTCTTCTTCTGCCGAGAAAGAAAATAAGACAGCCGGGCTATGATAGCTGTTGGGCAAGTTTTTAGCAACACGGTAAATCACATGTCAAGTCATTAACCGATAACGTCTCAGTCACCAAGTCGAATTTGAAATGTAATGAATTAATACCATCAACCATTTTCTGGACAGCCATATTCATCTTGTTCTCCAAACCAAGCATAAATTTATTTTTTTCAGCTATCAAGTCGCGATGAATTGTGAGAGAGGCAGAGGCCAGAGGAAGCTACGGGGGCAATCATTATAAATGGTATAATTCATACCAGTAGAATCTTATCAAAGTTGCCAATTAATAAAAAACCCACTTACGATGACGATTTGAAAGTGATTTTGTGCCAAATGCATTATGTCTTTAGCAACTTTAAGGCTGGTCAACGGTTTAAAATCCGGGTCCGTCTTTCCGTCCATTGCAGCAAGCTGTTCGATTGTTCTAAATACAGATGAAACTTCAGTTGCTATGAGCAAGAAATATCAAAAACTCTTGATGATACTATACGTTTCAAGCGCCGTCTCTACATATTGTCTTCCGATGCTATCCAACAGTACGTGGAATAATATGCTGGCATTCTTGGCTCTTAAGATTATTCGTTAGCAAACGTCATCGGCTCATAGAAATAATATATTCAAAATAACTTACAAGTCAGTTGGAAGGCTAAGACCGACAGATCGCTTTACTGCCTCGGCGTGAATCTTCATGATCAACATTGCCGAGTATATCGACAGTTGTCCGTCTTCTTCGGTGACAGGCAGCAGGCCTTTGTCATTTAAACCTATACTCGCTTGTTGATTAGGAACGGGTGAAGACGATATTTGATGCACCGCCCGTTGGAACAGATTACCACCCTTAGTATTCTTGCGTTGTAGCTGTATTAAGAACGTTATGAGTTGTATGGAAATAGCACAAGCCATAAGCAAAGTAGATAAACAAC